GAGGTAGTCCTGAGTTGGAATCCCACTTCCAGCATCATTCTTTCAATCAACAAACCTTCATGGAACACTTATTATGAGCCAGGCACTGTTGGTATGGTGTCATAATTGAATCATGTGGGTGGATGTCAGGTTGAGTGGAGTTGAGTGAATGAGAAGGCAGAGAGAGGACATATGTACTTGAGAAGCAAAAGATGGTTAAGTAGAGGAAGTTGTAGGACCAGGGATATGCATTTTAAATTAGTACAGACTAGAACATTTTAAATGATAGGAAGAATCAACAGAAAAGAAGAGGCTGAAGATACTAGAGAGAGGAGTATAAGGTTTCTGATAGGCAGGAACAATTGGGATACAGAGAACAGGTAGAGGCACAGCCTTTTGATGTGTGGACACATTTCCCTTTCTAGTGGCAAGAAAGGAGAAAGGATGGGTATAGCTACAGGTAAGTTAGAAGTTCTGGTGTTGGAAAGTAGAGGCAGTTCATGGCCTGATGAGTTTGATCTCTGTGAAAAGCTCAGGTCATAAGCTGAGGAAAGGGCAAAAAGAGGGACCTTAGAGATTTGTGGGACAGGAGAATGTTTAAAATAGTCTTCGAAAGTTCTGAGTGAGAAAACGAGTTGCCTAAAGAGATGAAGTATAAGTACCAAGTATTGCTCAGGAGTGTGAACCTTAAGCAAATTGTTTAGCTTCTCTAAACCTTAGTTCTCTCATTTGTCAAATAAGGCCATCTAAGCCATGACCCTGATGACAACGAATTGAGTTATTTTTTAATGTAGCTACAGTAAAAAGAGTCAGTAAAAGCTGCCTTCTTTAAGTGTTGCTGGTGGGACATTACCATGTAAGAGTTCAAAATAATGTTAATATCACAGTTTAAAATATCCGAGTTCTTTCAAGTATAATCTTTCTGTAGATGGTCAATTCGACTAAATTGGTTAATTAAGCTGCACAGTTAAAAAAAATTCATGTAATGAACTTCGAGACCACTACATTATACAATAATAAAGCAGCAGAGTATTTTATTTTTATATAATCATTATTCAATAAATGTTATTACCTTGTAAAATATTACACTGTAATCTCCTTTTCAATAGAAAGGTTTTCTAAGGAAATGACTTGGAGCCTTCCACATTTATCAGATGCCTTTTCATTATTCTTCTCCATTTTTACAATTCTGGATCCAAATTGCATGGCCCGTTTCGGCAGAAGAGCAGAGGATGTAAGACCAAGCTCCACTGCTGCAAGACGTAAAATTAGTTTTTCACCAATTCCACGGGGTAAAGTCAAGTTTGCCTTTTCCCAAACCGGTAGGGAATTTAGAAAGGAGACAACATTTTCATCCAAGAAAGGAAATCTAAAATAAATAGATAAATATAACCACTATATAAAATGAAATCAATCTGTTATGATCATTTCTTTTGCATTTTACGCAATGTTAAAATTATTTTTGAGGGTGCTATTTTTCTCAATTAAAAAATATTCTGGTTATTTACACAATTTTATAGCTAAAATTTAATCACATTATTTCACAACTTGTAATTTTAATACTCACACTACAAAATAAGTTAATTTTGTCTAAATAAATTAGCCCTATGGTGTCAAGAAAATACTTCAAATTGTTTCATGAGTTATCTTTGGGGATGCCTTGGAAACAAGCATGTTCATAAGTCAGTTATATCTGCTCTTTATTATGTCTATGAAACCAATAAAGAAGGGCTCTATAATCCTGAACTTGGGAAATACTTACTTATGGTAAAACTGTATGTATCGAAATTACTTAATTACATTTAAACTGTTTAAATGGTGATGATCTGGTGCAATAGAACAAGGTATTAGAGTTTAAAAATAACTCTCTGCCTTTTTGGCTTCCCTGATTTCCTAGAAAATTCTGTTCTTTTTCTGTTTAAAATGCTTTAACATTTTCCCTTCTTCCCATTCTTCAAAATACAATAGTTACACTAGTGTTTCTATTTTACTATAATTTTATTCAAGCTCAGAGAGATTGGAAAAAGTAAAGGTATTTGTTATACGTAATATTTTATAAAAATAATTAATTGTAAAAGCATATTTAAATATAAAAATTTGATCAATAGATAACTGGTAATATGTATGCAAAAATACATAATAAAATGATTATTTAGATCTAGTCACTATATTATCTGTATGAGCAGTTTTAAACATTCTTCATACACATTTTTACTTGAGAGTATCATATGGCACCTTTAGAATTAACTGCTTTTACTAAATAAAATAAATTCCTTTTCTCTGATCTAGCTGAAATAATGGATTGAATCTCTCTCTCTCTCTGTTTCTGTCTCTCACACACATATATCCTTCAAAAGGAAAACATTTTAATGATTTTGTATTGTGGCATTATTTATCTCTTTATAAATAAATTTTGAAAATCATGCTAGAATAATGACACAGTAGTCAGAACTGGCAACATAACTATGACAACCATGTAAAGGCAACCATGGTTCAGTGGAAAGAGGGAACACTAAAGTAGAAACAATGAAGTCTCAGAAAAGGTGTATTATGTTCCAATTCCCACAAAACTTATTTGGACTCCCTGTCCTTGCATGCTTGTATTTTTTTTGTAATTAACTACCACTTAATAAATTAACCTACTTGAACAAATTTCCGCTTTTTATAACTAAATGATACATCTTCCTTTATCCTCAATGCTTTAAAAAGATGTATTCAAGCACTTGTTTACTATCATCAGAAATATGTTGTAGGTAAAAATAAACCCCCACATTAAAAAAGAATATACATACGAAAGTGCCTTGATCTCTTTGAAGGTTTTAGGTAACTTGCAACATACAATTAAATTATGTTCAAAATACAACAGAGGGAAATCCAGTACTAGAACCACCATTTAAATCAGTATGGATCTACATATACAGAAATGTCTAGAGACAAAGCTGGGTTATATGACATTGGAGGAGAAAGCTTGGGAGTAGGGCCTATGCTCTTATTGGGAGGAAAGCAAACATTTAAAACAACAAAACCCTTTAAATAGCTTCTCTCGGTATTTCACTATCTCAGCTTTACAGTCTTTTTCTTTGTCGTCTTAAAAGCAAACATGTTATTGTATCATCTTTGAAAATCACGGAAAAGCCATTTCTTGGAGAATGATTCTGGAAAATAACCATTCCTCTAACTCCTTCCCAGATTTGCTGCTGTCTTTGTTATGTAAAGCCAAGGTATTATTGTTGCTACTATTATTCATTTGAACAATCTTTAAAGAAAAAAGGAACCTAAAAATCTGTTTAGTTTATTATTTTTACAAAATTACCCAACACTCAGAGAATTAGTTACCTTGCTTCTTTTCCATGGTCACCAATAACTCTATCATCACGACCAAGATTTCTAGAAGAAATTCGACCCAGTTCCATCTCAATTTCTTTATTCAATCCTTCCAGCCCATGTGTCTGAAAGCGGGCACGATGACGAGAGTAACCTGCAAGTTGCTCATCTGCACCAATTCCAGTAAGAACTACCTATAAAGGTTTAAATAAATCCACATAAAAAAAAATGTTACCTACTATACGGTATGGAAAACAACTAAGACAAAAGCAAACCTTAAAAAATTATCATCTCAAAGACATTTTCAGAGAAAAACCACAAAGTCATAAAATAATAAAATATGCCCAATTTTTAAAAAGTCATAAACATTGTATTGTAGTTTAAGTGCAACTAAAATATGCTATATTCTTGCAACCTAAATGCTAAACACTTTAAGGGTCAAAATTAGGTCTCAAATTCTTCTGAGCAGATATACTGTGACATACCTTTGCATTGCTCTGATATGATTTCACTTCATCCTGGGTCACTAACCAACCAATTCCTCTAGAAGCAAACCAGACTGCACAGCCAATGCTATCATCCAACACTGTATCCAAGGGCTGAACTAAGTGACATATTCGAGTTCTTCTTAATTTTTGCAGTTCTTCAAGAGAAACATTAATTTCAACAAAATTCCAAATCCGGGAAGGGTTAGCAGCTTGCAGTTCCTTTAGTCCCGCTCAGCAGCAGCAGCAGCAGCAGCAGCAGCAGCAGCAGCACCACCACCACCACCACCACCACCACCACCACCACCACCAGCAGCAGCATTTTTAGAGGAGTCTTCAGAAAATATTTCACAATTTTTCTGTTTTATCCTTTTTTTGTTAAGACCAGTTGGTATAGGCTTTTCTTTAGTCATGAAAGCCACATTAAGAAGATCAATTGGTTCATCTAAAGGAATATGACGGTCAGCAAGGGTTGCAATAACCATGGAATCAATACCTCCTGAAAACAGGATTGCAACATTTGCTTTCCTATTGCAAGTTTTCAAAACTTTACCTGGTGTCAGGTTTTCATCCCTAGGTAAGCATAAGACTCGTCTCTTGACTGCAATACTCAGGACATCAATGAACTGCTGAACTATTTCTTTCATGTTTCCATCAGTTAGAAAGACCTGAAGTGTCTCTCTTGTAGGTGGGGTGCTGGAAATGTTACTGCGATGAATATCAAGTGAAGCTTGTGGCAACATCATATTTAAAGGAACAACAGGTTCTTTTAGATATAGATTGGCTTCATTTGCTACCACTGATACAAATGTTGGCAAGTTTGCTGAAATTTGAGTTAGGCTATTAACACATCCTTTGATAACATTCTCCTTAGAAATATATTTCCAAGGATACAATTTTAAAACCACGGATTTGGAAATGGAAGCAGATTTGAGATTGATTCTGAAAATTCCAGATGCTGGAACTTCTTGCCACTGATTGGCCAATTCAGACATTTGGGCACCAACGGAAGAGAGGCAGAAACTCTTGCCCAAGTTACTAAAATGCCAAAGCAAGCTACGACGACCAAAAAAATCTCTACCAAACCACAAATGATGACTAGATGCTTGATAATATATAAAAGACCAAGGACCTTGGACTTCTGAGAAAAGTGACAAAATATCGGATTCATTCTTACAAGAGGAAAGATAATTAAACATTATTTGAGCATCATTCTCTTTGGCTTCAACCTTTACTCCACTAAAGACTTCTCCATTCCACAGGAACACATTGCCTCTTTCATCTTCCACAGGCTGGGCAGTCAAAACACCTCTTAAGTGAAGGACATGACCAGAAAATAAACACTGGTAGTTAACATTAGACTTTAACAACTGTTTGCTACTATTGGGTCCCCGTCGTTTAAGATTATGTAGTAAATCCTCTTTCAAATCTTTGCTGAAATGTTCGACAGAAAAGCTTACAGAACAACAAATGCCACACATTGTTATGTAAAATCAAGTTGACTATTTCTTGATTTTGGTCTTCTCTAAGTTTTCTATTTCTTGGTATTCTTTTTTCAGCTCATCCAATAAATCTGTGGGGGAAGGGAGAAGAAATATTAAGTTAAATAAAAATTCTTAGACTTTTACCTAGTAATTCACAGGGCAACATAGGCCATTTACCAAGATCAAACCATTTGAGTATAATGCACTGTTGGCACAAGTAATAATGTACAACAGGCTTCTAATGATGAACGTTTTTATTTTTTAGGAAAATAGTTTGTTTATTAAATGCTTATTTTGGCCCAGGCAGTTTATTTAAAACCCACACAACTTTGGAGGCTCAAAGTAATTCATGCAAAGTCATAAAAACTGAAAGTGATAAAAAGTTTTTTATACCTAGATCTGTCTAAAACTCTATAGCACACATTAATAATTATTGCTTTCTAACACATTTTCTACATTTTTATTTGATTTTATTTTTACCATAGTCTCTTCTTTGGAAGGCTAACTTGAAGAAAACCAAACACATTAATTTTATTAACAGGTATACCACCATTCAATCTTTAGCTATATATTAAACATTTAGATAAAGACAGTATAATTCAGGTACTACCATGAAAGTCTATAGAAAGCCTACAAAACACTTCCTGTGCGTTTCCATATAATACACCAAGAAAACTTACTTTTGCTTTCAGAAAGCATTTCTGTTCGGTCTGCAAGAAAGAATATGTTGCTGTTCTGTTGCTGTCTATATACTTTCTGCAAAACATAATTTAGGCTAATATTATGATTTGATATAAAAAGCAACAGATGTCAAAACTCTGAACCCTATTATCACTTATTCTTGAACTTCAGTAACATGTTCAGAATATCTTAGCATACAGATAAACAATCGAAAGTTACCCATTTCATTATCCTGCCATCTAGTAATTGCTACCATTAACACAGGTAAAACTTTTTCCTCTGAATATACCATAATACCATTTTTCTTCAACTAAAAGGGCTTCTATTATAACTACAAATTTATAATTTGCTTTTATCAATGAACAATATATCAAGAATACTATTTTTCCTCTTAAGTTCTTTTACAACATTACTGTATGAGTCTAACATATTACAGTTTATTTGGTCAATTCTCAAGTTTTAGATATTTAAGGTGTTACCAACTTTTCACTATTATAATTCAATGTTGTGATGAACATCTTTATAACTAAATCTCTGTGCACTCCCATGATTCTTTCCTAAATATCAATTCCTATAAATAGAACTGCTAGGTCAAACTGTTACATACCTTTAAGATTTTGGTACATTCTGCCAATTTGCTCTCTAGAAAGTCTGTATCAATTAAAATGTGCGTTAACCTCTAATATTAGACAAGTGATAATACCAGGATTGTCTAATCTGTCAGTTATCAAAAAATTTTTAAATGCTTTAAAGGGCTCAAAATCATTTTTTCATGAACTTTAAAATGTAATTTTTTATAGTATAACTACAAATGAAGCAGTACCTTATCTATGAATATATTAACGGAATGACATTAAATAACCAGGTTAAATATTTGGAAAATTTGTGTAAAAAAATTTGGGGAGTGGGAAGGAAAGTAATTTATCCTTTTGTTTTTCAATAATTATCCACTTTCTCTTAAAGGAATAGTTTCCTCTCTTCTCAGTATCTTTAAAGTTCATTTGTTTCTAAAGAAAACATCAAATTCAAGTACAAAATAAATATCAATAGTGATTACAGCTCCAAGATAGTATAATACAATTAGTATCATTTGGTTCAAAGGTAATGCGAATTATATATGATGAGAAAAAGATATCATTGACTATGATTAGCATATAGATATATATCTATATGTAACATAAGTATATGAAATCTTGGACACTTCTCACTTTTGCAATTTAAATAGATGGGGAAATCTTATAAATTATATAAAATTCTTATAACTTTAGTATATAGTTAAGATATAATCAAACCCTCCTGTAAACTATTCAGAATCACTCTAATAACTCACCCTGTTTTTCTTCAAGTTAGAAAGTTCATCCACAACAACTTTTTGTTCTTTAATCTACTGAAATAAAGAAAAACATCTTAAATCAGAGGTTCTCAGTGTATGCTCAAGGAGGGCCCATTAAAGATGAAATGGGATAAGGGGCTATAATGTACTGATTGTCCAAACAGGCAGTGTGTGAATACAGATTTTCAACATCAGTCTATGAGAGGGTGCAGGTGTGGAAAAGTTGAAGGAGGAAACAGTGATTAGACTTACAAAGTGTTAGCCCATTGAGCCCAGAGGGTTTGGTATTGGTAACTGGCATTCATGCAACGGCCATCATTATTAAACAAAGTTTATACCTTTTACTTAAAATAAAAAATACGCACCAGTTTTTCAATGATATCTTATAAGTTAAGCTTTAGCTTTTTAAAATAAAAAATAGCAAATGGGATAAGGGGTAGGCTATATTCCTCCCCTCCAAATACCAACGCTTTTCACAATTTATGTACTAAATGGTGCAGCCAGGCATTCAGAACAAGCAAGTAGTACTAAATACTCTACAAGGGGTAGTGAGACCTATCACCTTCTATCTTTCCTTATTCATCTTTGTATGTGAAAGACTAGAGAGCAGGGGGTCTCACTTTTTATTACTAGGAGAGGCCTCAACTTGGTGTAAACTAAGTTACTGCCTAATTCTTTTCAGTAATGGAGGTAATTTTGTGAACATGACTTGTTACATAGTATCACTAGTGCCTCTAAAACCAGTTTTTATAATCTTTGTCCTACTTCACACACCTCAGGGATCTGTCATACATTAGTTTAAGTGGCTTGCTATGTTAGTAATCAGAATGGGCTGTGTGTGGTTTGAAAATTCACCCCACCGCCCCACGAGTGTATACACTTATTTCTCCAGTTAACATAACAGTGTAGTTAACTGATTAGACTGAGTTGAACTGCAAGACCCAATTTGTACAACCTTCTTGAAACCTATGTTTGAACAATGCTTTCCTACTCATTTTAGGAATGGCAGGCATACATACATTTCTAGTTATTTCACACAAGGAAAGTGTGATACTGAGGGATTAGAAACTTGAAATGCTATAATCATCCCCATCTCCACTATATTTTTAAAGGTTCTGAATGTTCATGGCAGTTAAGATTTATATTATATTGGCTTCTCTACCCCTTTTTTGGGAGGTGTTGTAATAACCAGATACATGTTTCAGGATCATTGCTCTGGCTAACGTGGAGAATAAACAGATTGGAAGAAGGTAACGATGGATGAGAGGTCAATAAGGAAGCCTCTGCAGGGTTCCCAATGGTAGGCAGATGAAGGTGGCTGGTTTAGAATGGTAAGAGTGTACATAGTGATAAAAGGACATATGTGAAATGAATTTCAGAAGTAGAACGGATAGGACTTCGTGATGGCCATCAAGAATGGCTCCTAAGTTAACTGGCATAGACAACTGGAGGGATGGTGGTGACATTTTCTGGGGTGGAGAATATGGGCAGCGGAACTGGGGTGGGCAGTATTTCTAAAGTTTAATCCTAATCAAATTTCCGCCCCACTGCCAAATGGTTCTAATTCTGGAGAAAGTTTCCGGGTCTCCCTTAACTGTAGCTGTTCAGAGATAAGAATAAAAGGAGCAAAGCGGCTGGCGAAGCCGAGACTGGGCCGTGCTGCCGCGGTGGACCTCTTCTGCGCCCAGCGGCGCCCTGTCCAGAACTGCGGGCCTTCCCGCCTCGTCCTGTACTCACCTTGCTGCTAAGATCCACTTTGTGAGGGGCCGAGTTGTCGGTAGGGACTAGCCCGGCGCCGTTTTCCGGGCGTGCCTCTCCGAAGGGCATCTCCATCGAATGCAAAACACGCAGGTTGCGGAGCCGAGCTCGCGCCCCTGCCGCCTCCAGCCCCCAGCCTCAGCGCGCGCACGCTCCCGGGGCACCACCCATTCCCTTTGCCTTTCCGGTAAGTCCTACCAATAGCGTCTGCGCGCTCACTGAAACGCCTGCGCAGTCCGGGTCTGGCCCGGGAGCAGTTCCGCGCTTGCGCACAGATGATTAGCGAGCGCGCGGGTAGAGCCGGGTAGTGAAGTCTGAGAGGTCCCAGAACAGTGCCCTAGCGGATCCGATGCAGAAAGACTTTTGTGACCTCTTCACCACTGGACTGTGAGTTGTGCGCGCCCCCCAATGGTAAATATGAGAATGGAAGCGCAGTAGAAATACTACTTAATATTTATTATCTAGGCAAGGATATGAAGCTAGGCCCAGATTTAAGAGAGATATGGGCAACGGAACTGTAAAGACTTGGTAAAGTGTATTATTAGGGTGAAAAGAAAAATTCAGGATGCCTAGTTAAATAAGAATTTTGGATAAAGGAATAATATTTTTTGGTATAAGTACATCTCACACAGTATTTGCAGTATCTCACTCCTGTGGGAAAAATTATTCAAAACTTGGGAACAGATAAGAGATTACTGGGTGTTCTTTCTATTGACTGGGCTATTTATTTTACAATTCTGTAGGGTCTGAGGTTAATCTGTAGATTTTTGTTCTGCAGAGATGCAAATAATCTCTATTTGGTGGACCAGATAGCCCCACAAAGTTATGATTTATTGTTCTGTAAGACATTAATCAGTATTTAACTCTGCAATTCTAGGCTAACATTTCTTTACTAATAGAGGCCTGGCTTTTCATAGACTCTTTAAATTTGTTTTAATGTCTTACCCGTTCCCTCATCAGTTAATGAGTTGAATAAAATTTTGACATATATTTATTTTTTTACATGAGAGACATGATTTTATATTTTTGAAATTATACTTTAACACCGGAAATCTCAAGTTTCCATAGAGCTGCCCAAGCGGACTGACATGATGGAGCCAAACCCTATGCTAAGTGTACCTTGTGCGTTGTTAAAGTCAAGGCTTATCTTTTATTGGCTCTTTGAGTAAATTCTAAGTGGTTATAGAACTAAGTTTACTATTTTTCCTTTTTAATGATTTGAAAATTTTTGTTTTTGTTTTTGATTTGTACACAGCTAAGTTATTCCACATTGGTAGCAACAGTGATTGGGAATTTGTTTTTGTGGTCTAATCATTTGGTGACACTGGTTGGATTATGGAGATCTAGTCTCTGAAAAGAGAGATAGCAGAGAATCCAGGTGTTTAGTCTTTTGATTTGTCTTTTGCAAGCTCAGATTAATTAAGAATATTGTGTCCACTGGGAAGGAGAACGGCTTTTTGAGATCTAGGCTGGTAAGTTTTTATGTTTCTGTGTTTACATTCAACCTGGGAATGAGATTGTAAAAGTGAAGCTATAAACTCTGTGTGTCTGTGTGTCCGTAATTTAGAACAGCTCACACCTTGCTGTATGAGAATGTAAAATTTTTCATATTTCTGGAGGGTATTAATAAATTTCATAATGTCTCTTAAATTAAAGGATAGTCTATAGATATAAATATGCACTTGTATAAATCCCAAAATTTAAAAAAATCCCAGAATTTCTAATACTTTAGATGTGCTATACTTTTAAGGGGAAAAAAAAAGTCCTTCTTACAAAAACTTCTAGCTTAGAAACATTTGCAGAATCCAAGTTTATCTAATTAAGGTGAGTTTTTGGAGAAATCAGACTGGATTAATAATTTGGGTTTAAGAAAGTAAATGTGTTTATCAATGCAAAGTAAAATACAGGTATGTGTTTTATTTTTATGATATTTAGATTTGTTTTTTCATGAAGAGATGATTTAATCTGAATTTCCTAATTCTTATATTGGTTTACTGATTAAATAAGATGGCATTGCTGCTATAGAATATTTAAGTTTATGACAAATGTAAATTTGTGTTCACTAAAGTGAGTAGTTATTCAGACAAACTTTTTGTATCAACAGTAATTATGTTTTGTACCATGTAAGTTAAAACACAATTCCAAAATTTTTAGGTGACTTAAAACCCCGAGATAATATCAAATTGAGTGAATTAATGATTAATTAGATAACTAGATAATTTATTTTAAAAGCTGAATACTGAAACAATGACTAATGAAAGCATAATTTTAAGTTTCTATGTTTTTGCTTTTTGTTTTTATATGCCATAGAATGGCTATCCTTTTGGGTAATGTTATGGGACATGTTCATTTTTGCCACTTTCAGAAGGGATAAAGGGAATATGTGTGGCTGTAGATAGTTGTGTTATGTATATTAAGGAACTTTATTTGTCTGCTAAAATGTGTGCATATGACAGCTCTCAATTATCTACCTCCAGGTCTCTCTATAAAATAGAAGTTATTAAATTGGTTAAAAGTTATAATTAATCTGGGTGGCTAAGATCACATTAAGGGCAAGAGTAGTAGAGAATGCAAAGTAGTGGGGTGAGTCTTGTTTTGCGAGGAAAAAGTTCTAAAGTAAAATGTCACTGTTTCAAAATATAAAAGAGCACAATGAAAGAAAAAACACTTGAGGAATTACAGTAAGTTGAAGATGATTTGACAAAAGTGGATTTTATTTGCCTTGGTCTATAATACCTAGCCCTGAAAAGAAATTATGAAATATGTTTAAATTTTGGCAAAATACATTCAGTTTGGAAGGCTTATCACAAGATATATTGTTTAAAAACTTTACTGCCAAATATTATACCAAATAAAAACTAAAATTTGATATTTTCTTAACTAACTACCAGCTCCATTCCTCCAAACCTTTAGGGTTCACCACAATCGAGCTGATAGGAACCTAGGAACATGCCTTCCCCGACACATAGGATGACATTTTAATTATTGTTTGGAGATGATGGTGAGGCTTATCTGTAGGGCTGAAGAGACAGAGCTTACTGGTATATGGGTCTACTTTGTACCCCTCCCTCTTTGGCATTGTCTGCCAGAATGGGAACTCTGGTTAATGTTTGAACTGATTCTTTGACCCACAGTTGTTTCCATACTGAGTGGCCAGAAACACTGCTAATTTTTCTATAGTTGTTTACCTTTTTTGGAGAGTGGTTTGTTGCTTATGGCTTTGCCTGGTTCTGATATTTTCATTTATTTACAGGAATCACCCAAGATGACAATACTAAACAAAGTGGTGATAATCTTATTAGTATGGTGCTAAACTGCTTTCAAGTTTTATCTTATTTTTTTCATGGTTTTCCAGTTGCTTCTATTCCCCCTGCCCAGCCGCTGTAACTCCTGCATTGCTTGAAGTCACACTTAGTATCAGTCTTGTTTAACTGGTTCCAGACTGCCAATCAGCGGCCCACCATACACCTAGCTAGGCTATTCTTCTTTCTTTCATTTAAATCTGTTGCTGTTGTTTATTCTACTTAAAAGGATAATTTCATGTTCATTAATGCTATATATATATATGTGTGTATATATATATGTATATATGTATATATATGTATACATATACATATGTCTGTGTGTGTGTGTGTGTATATATATATATATATATATACACACACACACACATATATATACACTCTCTCTCTTATACCACACTTAATACATTTCATTCTATTTAATAATACATTGTTCACCATTGACCATTTTATAAAAGCGATGTGTATTGTTAGCCTGGCTTCCAGGTTTAGATGAATTTCTTGCTTTCTCAGGATATGCTGACACAAATTTGTTTCTAGCCACATAAGTCTCTTTCCTGTCTCTCCTAAATGAGGTATGTAATAGTGCTGTGATTCCCAAATGCCAGTTAGAAGGGCAGGCACCCTTCTCACTATCTAAAGTCACCTGAAAGTCTTGTTCAAATATGAATAGCTTTCTCAGTCTTCTTCCCAGATTTACTAAATCAAATCTTTGTGGAAGGGATATGATTGTCTGCTGTATAATATAGTACTGACCATTTACCCTATGACCAAAATGGCTGGGTTTGAATTTTGACTTCTACATTTATTAGATGTGTGACTTTGGGTAAGTCATTAACTTCTCGGGCCCCAATTTCCTAACATGTAAAATGGGAGTAATAATTGTGCCTACTTCAAAGGGTTGTAATGAGGATTAAATGAGTTAATATTTGTAGAGTGTTTACAACAGCTTCAGGCACATAGTAAGCAGTATATAAGTGTGTGTTAAATAGATAAATCAGGGGTTCCCCTAGATGATTTTAACATACATAAGGCTTATGAATCAATGGAATAGAAAAAACCAGGCTCAGAAATGTTCGGCCCAGTTATCATTGAAGATATGTCTTCTCTTTTACTTCTAATGATTCTCAGCAGGCTGTTCATAGATGATGCTTTTGAAAATATGTTGAGGCACATTTGGCTGTTACAATGATTGGATGGTTCTGTCCATTTTTATGGGGAAGAACTAACAGGGAGCTAATTGGAAGGAGATAGAATGAGCCAAAACTCTTTTAAGAAGCCTAGACTCACAGGTCAAAGGGCAGTCTCAGCAGCAGACAGCACTAAGACTCGCATGGGGCAGGAGTTGGGAAGGGTTTTAGGACCAAATGACGAGGTGATATCAAAAGAGAGGTCATATCACAATCTAAATAGGTGATTTATATCAGGAATATTGTTAGAAGTTGAAAGGGCCTGAGATACTGGACTGGTGTTTATAAGCAGAGCTCTAGTATCTGAAAGGGGGACTACCGGGTCCTTCTCACAGGCATTGGTGCGAGGAGGCAGGGACTTAGTCCTGGTAAAGAAGCACGCCGGGCTCGTCTTGGTCCCTCAAAGGAAATGGCTAAATCTACAAGCCCTGGGCTGCAGGTGAGTAAACCCTCCCTTTTTACCCGAGGTAAGACTGGTTTCAAAGGTTAGCTTTGGAAGAAATCAGGCACCTCTGGCTCCTACAGCCATATTAGTTTGGGGGTCTTGTATAAGGCAGGGACTAGGGTGAGGCAAATGAGGGGCCCAGGGTGCAAAATTTAAGGATGCACTCACTCTCAAGG